CGCTCTCTGTACATCGACGGACTAAAATCAAAATCCTTACTGCACCAAAAAGAATAAAGTAATGATTTCTCGAACCCAGATGAAAGAGTCATTCCCGAACGCGGTAAACAATAGGATTGTTCTATCATCGATCCAAGTTTGAATTATTTGACTCCAAAGAGAAGAGACTTTAATGTCCTGGCTTTGACTGTCCCTAGCGTAATATTACGGCTAACAACGAGAAGGAACCCTCGACCAGTTCATCCTCAAAGAGACATTTGAAACTGGCAAACTTCTAAAGAAAACTTATCGTAGATGAGTCGATAACCCAATTCTGCAGTAAAACAAGTAACTGTTAACCTTCATACTTTGCCAGTTTTAAACCAGTTACTTTCTTAAAATAAACGAGGACTTTTTATTGCAGGGTATAAATTAGACTCGGAGAAGCGACCACTAATATAAAGAAGTTGTTTAATCCAATAAATAGCGGTTAGTTAAAAAAGACTAGAATCTTTTAATTCGTCAACATTTGAAACTATTTGTTTTATGTGCATTCATGTTTTCATGAATGAGCGGGCTTCTTTCGGCGCTTTAATTGCGCTGTCGCTTCTAGTGCTCTTGTTGTCGGAACCAAGACTTCTGTTCTTCGGTTACGTGGACTGTTTACCAGATCAACATGGGCTTCGAAGAAAATGCTTCTTAATGCTGAAGTATATGATACTATATACATGAAAAGGACTGCAGTCAGTACCAATCAACAGCGTTCTCTTTTCTGACGAATCAATACAATTTGACGCAGCCTTTTCATCAAGGGAATCGTGACAATTCCAGAGCGCTGATTCGTAGAAAGGAAATAAGGGGAAGAGGTTCGAAATATGAACCAGGTCCGGTTTGCAGTTTCCACAAACTACGTACATGAAATGAATGTACATGACTGCACTTCTGTTTACTGTATGAGACAAAAGGATAGATCTTTTGTAAATTTTTTACAAAACAGCAAAATTCTCTAATTTCAAGGTATCAGACCAAAATTAAATAATGCACAGTAGTTATTTACACAGTTTTAGACTTAATGGAGCAAGATGTTGCTTGTAAACGAACCTTTAGGAAACGCCTTTAGTGGTTCTGGTTTGATTTTCTATCCGCTGTCATATCTTATACGAGTTTGTCGCGTTTCAATGTCCGTACAGACGGTCACACCCTCTCGCAAATATTTAACAATGGTATGCTCGTATATTAGATGCATAATTTCGTGACTTTCGATATTTCTTATGTCGTTTTGAGCATCATGCGCAAAGTATGGGATTCTTGCACATTTCGTCAGACATTACCGTATGTTTTGCCGACGACTCATCAACTTTTGCGATTATATAGTTTAATCACGCAAAGTCAAGACATAAATTAATTTTATTTGCAAGCATTCCGATAAAGACAAAGGCGCTTCGAAATGTAGAAAATTCTCTATTTATTTTATAAGTGAAATATGGATCCCTGTTTTAAACTACGTTATTCGGTTTCTTCATTTGTTAATTGGTACTGAAGAATGAACAGCATTGCGGGTTTGGAAAGCTTCACTTAATAAATATATTTTCACATTTAAAACGGTTTCTTTGATTATCAATAAATCCAGTCCATATCTTTTCGAATTGATTGATACCGACTTTTGAGATATATCAGGCAGTTTCGATTTCTGAAAAATTTTTCTTTCACACTCTGACTAACAAACATTGTTAGTTGAATGAATCTAAGTGATATTCGGCCCTGATCTCTTGTTATTTGGCCGCGAACTTGAAATGGAGCAGAGATGTTGAAGGGGAGTAGGAAAGGTACTCGTCTTAGATAAAAAAAATTAACTCTCTTTGCAGTACCATCAAGCTGTGTTCAAAGGTACTTTAAACTTAGGAATTAGATTGTTTAGGCACTGTTGTCATGTTATCATCGTCAGAGGTAATCAAGTACTGATATCGATATTTTTTGACAATATGGGTTGGATTTTTCGACGAAATTGACAAAAGAGGGAAACGCATCATGAAATTGACGTAATTGCATGTTTGTATTTGCGTAATTAAATATTCCTAGTTCAAAGCAAAACTACGTTCAAGAAGTTTAATATTTTTTTACGGTTTCTCTGAATGTTGTTTCTGTTCATTATTATGATAATTTGAATTGGTTCAAAGAGATGTGTATATTTAAAATCTGTAGGGTTACAGTAGTGCTTTGAAGATTATTTGTACAGTACGCAAAAGTACTGTTGAACGATTGCCTCTAACCTGAGCCTTTATCGAATTAGTAGTTTTTGATTTGCGAGGATTTAATGTTTTATTATTCTTGAAGGTGGAAGGATTCTGTTTCTGAGCTTTTTTTTCCATTCTGTACATTAAATAACATTAAAACAGTGTCATGTGACCACAAACACAGTTGTACGTACTCTTGATGATAATCAGAAATATTTCATGCACGTGAATAAGCCACCACTCCCAAAGCATGCTCCCGAAACTAGGGTACAACGAAGATGATTGACTGGCTGCAAACGACTCGCTGTCAGCGCTAAGAGCTTGTCGCGACAACTTTGACATACGACAGCGGCAGTGGCCTTGCTTACGAAGACGACACTTTTGTCACACTTTCGCGGGAAACGAACAGTGGCCTGTGTACGTCGCGTACGCTTCTCTCTCTCTCTCTCTCTCTCGAACCCCTTCAAGGAAGGTGCGAATATTGGCAGATCAGAGGGGAGACGGTTAGGAGACGAAGGAACAGTAGCTGTTTACTGGTAAATCATTGTGTTATATATTTGCCTCGTTGAGTCACGGGCCGTTCCCG